CTCGGCGGAGCCCCATCCTCCCCCCCACTGATAGCTGATGATGAGGATGATGATGATGATGATGATGCTGCTGCTGCTGATGATGATGATGATGCTGCTGCTGATGCTGATGTGATGACGGTGATGACGGTGATGATTATGACGACAATGATGGCGATGATGATGACGAAGACGATGATGATGATGATGATGATGACGAAGACGATGATGATGATGATTATGATGATGATGGTAACGAGGATGATGATAAGGATGATGCTGATGTGATGATGTGTTCTTCCAGTGAGCAGCCGAGCGCGCTGGAAGAACACGTCATCATCACCAACATACCATCATCACATTATCATTAACATCCTCATATCATCATCAGCATCATCACCACCATCATCATCATTGTCATTGTCATTATCATCATCACATCATCATACTCACACCTTCATCACATTAGCACACCATCATCACATCATCATCATCACATTATAACATCATCACCAGCATCATCATCACCTCACTGCACCGACCTTGCAGACGTGCTGCAGCGGATTTTGTGCGGATTTCTGCCCATGCAAAGCCCCGTGACGGCGAGCGAAAAAAAACGAAGCGAGTTTCGCGCGGATTTGTCTTGTTAGTCTTCGCTCATGGCCACAACCTGCACGAAATTCATCTCGAAATCCGGAACGAAATTCTCCAGGACACTCCGGGTCTATCCTATCGTCTTCCGAACGAAATCCGCTCTGCAGATCACGTGAAAGCAGGGCGCCGTTCTGTGATCGACCCAGCCTGGCCTCAGGTCGGGCATGTCCTCCTGCAGGCGGATTTTGGATGAAACATAAACACGATTCGAAACGTATTCAAAAGTAGTCAAACATAGTCGAGACATCGTTCCCAGACTATTTATATGTGTGAATATTCCTCCTGTAGAGGGACGTGCCCGACCAGAGCCTGGCCGCGAGAGCGGGCCTCCCCGCCGCGCTTCTGCCGAGCGGGCGCACTCGCCGGCACTCGAAAGTCCCCAGTGCCCCAGGCCTCCCATTCCTGCTGTGGATGCCATGACAATAGACAATCTCACAATCCGATCGTTGAATTAAACAAGTGTTTTAAATGTGGGAAAAAAGATGTTCTACAGATGTTTCTAACATGTGGTTACATATTTCCAGCGTGGTTGAAACATGTTTCAGATCTCTCGAAATCATTTGGCAGCACGCTTCCTCCCCACTAATCGACTTCCACAACGCCCCTGCAGAGGATGACTGGCGCGGCGGCCCACACTGGCGGGTCGCTGCGGCGCGCCTCCTCGGCGCGTCGAGGAGCGGAGGAAAAGAACCCCTCTCGCTGATGGGCCCGTTTTCCACCACCACCACCATAAGTTGGAGGGGGGAAGGAGGAGGACGAGGAGGAGGACGGAGAGGAGGAGGAGGAGGAGGAGGAGGTGGAGGTGGACGAGGACCCCCTCCCCCTCCAACTTATGGCGGTGGTGGTGGTGGAAAACAGGCCCATAATCTCGCGACGCTCGCCCTCCGAGGAGCCCCATCTCCCCCCGAGGCAGGACCACGGCTCCAGGACCACGCCAGCCATCGCGACGCCGGCCGAACGCGTCGGCCCGGGAGGAGGATCGGGTCAGGTGCCTCCAGACGCGATGCCAGGCACGAAGTCACGAGTCCCTCGCTTCCTCCTCCTCCTCCTCCGCCTCCTCCTCCTGCTCCTCTTTGCTTTCCCTTCGCGATCCCCCGCCTCCTCCTCGACCTCCTTGCCCTCTCCTCCTCGACCTCCTTGTCCTCTCCTCCTCGCCCTCATTGCCCTCCTTTTCCTCCCTCCCGGCCTCCTCAGATCGGATCCAAGCCACCCCTTGCCCAGGCACGAAGCCACGAGGAGCAGAGGAGTCTTGGCGCTCGGGGCGCGGCTGCGCTCCCCCAACGCCGGGAGCGGAGCGGCACGGCTCGCGGTGCACGGCGAGCTGCGCAGAGAGGCGGGCCCGGCGCAAAAGAGGGCATGGCGAGGGCGTGTGCTGCTGCGGCGTGTCGGCGCCGGGCGGCAAAGGGGGGGGGGGGGGGAAAGGGGGTGGGAGAGGATCTGGCTTCAGACCTCTGCTCGATGCGAGCGTTTGAGGCAGTGCTTCCTATGGGAAAGGCTCCACCTGCCTGCAACAGGCGCCAAAAACAGCCAAGATCCACTCCATGGGGGGGCGGAAGGGATGCGATGGCCCGCGCCGATCGACAAAACAATGAATAAGAAAACTATCGCATAGCGACCTTACGCAGAGGCTTACGCAGGCCGCCAGCGCGGCAGAAGGCAGAAGGCAGAAGGGGAAGAGAAAGAGAGAGAGAGAGAGAACAAACAAATAGTTAAAGTGTTGGCCCCCAGGACGGGCTCCGTCCCGGCCCCCAGGGTTAGGCTTGAGGATATGTCGGTCGGGTAGAAGGAATGGGCAAGAGGGGTTTCAGGAAATCGTGCTTGAGAATGGGTTTAGGCGTCTTCGGCAACCTACCAAAAGATGGGCAAGCAGATGTGTTCGAAATCATCCCTCGACTTATTGCTTTGTCCCCGATTTCTAAAGCCTTGTGCTATCGATACGCGCACCACACACATACGAAAAGGATGGGGAGGTTGGAGAATGGAGGTGGAGGGAGGCGGATAACAAAAGGAAGGAGGATGACGGAGGAGGAAATTTGGGGAGGGGACGGAAGTGGGTGAGCAGGCAGGAAGGAAGTACGGCCCAGAGTGTCGCTGACGCCCTCCCCCCCCTCGTTCCTCGCCATGGGTTCGTAGAGTGGGAGGGGGAGTGAGAGGGAGCAGCGCGAGACATTTGAAATTCGAAATCGGTTCAGAATCGACCCAGGCCCCGCCCCGAAGTCCAAGCTCACCAACTTCCCGAGCTGCGTCCAGCTGTTGCGGCGAGGGGGGGCACGAAGGCCGCCAAAGTTTCACGCGACTCACTCTCACTCCCCATCCCACTCAACGACCTCGTCCTAGTTGACCCATGCTTCCTAATAACTTTCTCCTCAGGCCCATCCGCCCGCCCTGCACACTCCTCGCCCCCCTGTCGGGGTCATGCCAAAGCATCCTTGCATCCCTCCTTTGTGTCCTCCTCGTCCTGCCCCTGTCTAATCCATTCTCCTCATTCGCCATATGCCCTCATCAGCTTCCGTATCTTCACTGCCTCCCTCCGTATATCCTCGCCATTCCTCCCCTCTACTCCTCGTGTTCACTACCGCCGTTGCTGCAAGCGAGGCCAGTTGGGCCTCAAATAATCCACGCGCACAGTGCAGCGGCCCCGCGCCGCTGGCCCTTCGCCCCGCGGGGGGTCACCAGAGCTCGCGCAGCTCGCGAGCGGAAACGGGCGGAGGAAGCTGGATTTAGTTGGCCTTGGTCCTCCTCCTCCCCCTCCTACTCCTCCTCCTCCTCCTCCTAATCCTCCTCCTCTTCCTCCTCCTGCTCGAAGTCCAACATCGCGCCCCGTCGGGGCGGCAATCCAGCCTCCTGGAGACGGCCGTCGGTGCCTACGCGAACTGGCCGATCTTGGCCTGCTTCACCGCCGCCTGCAGCAGCGCGTGCGTCGAACAAACCTCGAAGCCGCACTCCTTCTGCTTGCGCGAAATCTCGGCGCTCACGTCGGAGCGCAAACTCTTCTTGTCGTCGGCGCTCGGGCCGACGATCGCCACGTACTTGGCGAAGCGCTTCAGGAGCACGTACTCGGTGTCGGTGATGGTGGCAAGCTGCAGCAAGTGCGCGGCCTTGTCCACCTCGGCCGACGCCGACCGCTTGAAGAATCCAGCCGTCGTCTCGAGGTCCTTCTTCGCCTGGGCAGGGGGTGGCACGGGGGCTGGATGGCGGCGAGGACGGCGGTCGCCCTCTCCGTCACCCAGCCCAGTCGTCGTCGCAGCCATCCCCCTCCAACTCGTCCGATCGCCATCTCCGCCATAGCAGCCCTCCCCGACCTAGCCCGTCTCGCCATCGCCCGTGCGCCCCTCTACGCGGGACAAGGCCGCTCGCGAGGGGGAGGCGAATGGGGTCCGCGGATCAGGCAGTGGTGGTCGCGCTGAGGGGGCGAATGGCGAACGGCTTCAGATATGGCGCAGCTGTCCTTCGTCGAGGGAAGGCGTCGGCGCATGCCAGCCAGCTGACACGCACCAAGACACTGCCCCGACAAAGGAATGCCGCGCCCGACCCGAAGCCGCCAGCCCGCCCCCTAAGCGCAACCGACGCTGCCTCGTCCGCGATCACCCATCCACCACAAGCCCCGTCCTCCACATCCGACCCCGCCCTGCGTAAAGGGAAATGGGCGATGGCAAGGCGAGCGACGACGGAGAAGGCGACGATGGCAGAAAGGGGGCTTCGGCACGGGAATGGGGAGGGCGACTAAGGCAGCGGGATGGCGGCGGTGGCGCCGTCCCGCGGCCAGAGGAGGGGGGAGAGGAGGAGGGCGACCTCCTCCATCCCCCCTCCTCTTCCTTCTCCTCCTCATCCTCGTCCTCCTTGCCCTCATCATCCCTCCTCCTCCTCCTCCTCCTCCTCCTCATCTTCTGCCTCCTCATCCCTCTCCTCCTCCTCCCCCTTTCCCCAGTTCGCCGCGAGCCTTCTTGACGTCGTCTGTCGCCGCCAAGAAGGCCTTCCCGTCAAACTTGAAGAGGCTCTGCTCGGCCTTCGGCAAATAGCCACCCTTGAAGGTCCCGCTGGGGTCGAAGTCCTTGTCCCAAGCCTCGCCGTTTGTGGTGCCTCTCGCGACGGGCTCGAGCTTGTTGTTGGCATCAGTCAGCACGCGCTCGGCCGCGTTGAAGATCATGTCGGATGCCTCAGTGCACTGAGTGGAGATGTCATCGATGTTGAACTTCACTGCATCGAGCACCAGGGCGCAGCATTCGATCCCGTCCTGCACGCTGCCCAACTCCTCGGCGGCGGCGGTGGCGGTGGGGATGCTGCGCAGCGCGTCAGAGAGTGCAGCCTGGCCCTGGCTCGACTTCCAGCGGTCACTTGGATTCGCACCAGAATCCACCCACAGCTTG